ACATGTAGTCGAGGGGAATAGAATTCTTTTTTTTTTTTTAATTATCCAAACATGATAGTGAGAGAGAAAACATAATTATTTATTTCTTATCTCACCCCCAATCCAAATGGAGTGTTAATTTTTCATATTGTATCAATTTAGTCTAATTGATAAAGTCTCTTTAGAAATCTAACTAAAAGGAGCAAAATAGTCCATTCTGATTTGAAATGGTTCAATCCCTTTTGAATGGACTATTTTTCCCTTGATTTTTGTCCAATTTTTTAACCAATGTTTTAACTAGACTAAATTAACATAATGTGAAAAATTCAAAGACAAAATTGATACAATTGGAACTACAAGGACCAAATTGACACCAGAGTCAAATTATAGGGACCATTTGTATAATTTGCCCATTTATTTATTTTAACTGAGCACATAATCTTGACAGTGGGGAATGGCGACCCACCTGATTGGGACACAAGCTTGGTTTGATTTGGTTATCTAAGTTTTATCTCAAATTTTAGCTGGATTAACTATTTTTTGTGCTCCCCCCATCCATGGTTTATAGATAGTCATTGCATATTATCTATTCTCCTCTGACTAGATTTTTTTTAGTAGATAAAATTTAGTGATCAATTTCTTTAAGAATATTATGGAAGTGACCAATTGCTTAATATTTATGTCTTGATTTGGCTTGGTATCCAGTACTTGAAGCATAAGGAACAAGATGCATTATTTGAGGCCTTGCAAAAAATAAAAGAAGGTTTGTAATTGATACTTCTTCATTTCTTCTCTCTTTACAATGTTTATCTTTTCTCTTTTAATCCTAAACAAAGGGATTTGAAACCATGTCATCTGTTATATGAGATGACAATTTACATTAATATGATTTAAAGAAAAAAAAAAAACTTTTAGTTGAATTTTTATATTCTTAGATGTAGTTGAATGAAGCTTCAAAAAATAGATTAAAGCACTTGAATGGGTAATTGCAAATAGATCCCAAGAAAATTAGCATGTTCCATATATCCAAATAATTTCTAATTGTCCTTCTATGCAGTAAACATTTTTTATTCCCTGACTTTTTTTTCCCTTTCTTTTCTTTTTTACCAGAATTGATGCTTTTGGGATTTATTTCCCTTCTTTTAACGGTCTCCCAAGGTCCAATAAGCCGCATATGCATCCCTGCTCATCTTGCATCTTACATGCTTCCATGCAAGTTGGAAACTGCTGCCTCAAGTAGCTCTGGGAATAACCATGAACAATATTTTCAGCAAACTATGACAAATGGACGGCGGCTTTTGTTCACAGAGACTGGTTACAGCCAATGTACCCGCAAGGTATCTCCCTAAGATTTATTTGATTCATCCATTTTCACTAGGAGGTGATTGAATTAGTAGTTTTCTCTCATTATCTCATAACATGCAATATTTAAAGCCTAATTAGTAGACCTGGTTTGCATATGTAATGTATGTATAATATCAAATCAATGTTGTGGGGTCCTTTTTAATTTGTGTTTAATATTTGTGAATAATGGAATTGAAAGAAATTTATCAAATGCACCCCCACTCTATTACCAAATTTAGAGATGTACACAAACAGAAAAAAAAAAGGGAAAAAAAGAAAAAAAGGAACAAGAAGCTAGGGCAATTTTCTTAGGATCATGATTCATAAGGCATTTCCCTCATTTTGTGACTCCATTCTCTAAGAGAAACATGATAATTTGTTCCTAAGAAATAAATTTCATTAAGAGAGATTGATTTTTAGACAGCATAGTCATAAATTCATAATATGCACTTACAATAAGTAACCCGCTGCCTGGACAGCTTCCAGAATAAAAGAGAAAATTCAATAGGTTGGTAGGTACAAAGTAGGAGAATACTTGTGGTTTTTTGACACATTGAAACTAGTGTATTTCATCACAAACAAACATTTATTTATATATAAATATAACTATGATCTCTTACAGCTACTACTGGTTATAATTTGTTCCTTCCTGTACTCAGGGAAAGGTTCCTCTGTTATCGTTAGAAGCATTACACCAGCTGCACATTTTCATCTTCGTATTGGCAGTTGTTCATGTCATCTTTTGTGCGACTACCATGATTCTTGGAGGTGCAAAGGTAATGTATTTTGTACTCCAACTTCATGCCTTATTGTACAGATATATGAGTATATATGGTTTCTAATATATATATATATATATATTTCCTTCAATTTTATGGAATTAACTAAATTCACATTCCTTCCATTAAGATTTGTATGATAATAAGCCAACAAGTACACAATTACAAGCATTTTTGTCGAGGCCAATTTGTTGCATATATCTGAGCTTCAGTTTTCTTTTTCTTTTTCTTTTTTTTTTAGTTCTTTTCAAAGTTGTGTATACGTTGCTGCAGTGAAGAATCAAACTAGTCTTACATCAACCTAACAACTCATTTATTCATATCTCCCACAGATACGTCAGTGGAAGCGCTGGGAGGATTCAATTAGGAGTGAAATATCCATGCCACGCTCTGGTAAACCATGAGTTTCAAATTTTCATGCATGTGTTATAGAAATGGGGGGCTGCAGTTTCATTTTGGTTTCTTTGACTTAGTTATATGAAATCAATCCTGTGTAGTTCACAGTCATGCACGCCATCATCAAATTTTCAAGCATCGTGCGGATGGATATTGGAGAAGGTCAGTTGTCATAAGTGGGATGGTGAGTTCGCTTATCTATGGATGCTCAACAACAGTACTCAAATTTTTTGTAATAAATTTTTGAATTCATTCTAGCTTCTGCAAACCAATCAGCTAGAATTTACAAATCAGCTAGAAGTCTATCTTGTACAACTTAAATGTGCTAAATCATTCATTTGTATATGTGAAATAGTTTTAAACTTTCACATTTAAGACAAAGAGATGTGGAGAGAAACACTTGAATCTAAAGGATTTAGGATAAGCAGAACTAAGATAGAATATGCGGAGTGTAATTTTAGTAACAATAATAATGGAAGCAAAGAAGAGGTGAAGATTGAGGACCAAGCATTACCTAAGAGTGAACATTTTCATTATTTAGGATTGATTATTACAACGGCTGGGGAGATTGGAGCGGATGTGGTCCATAGAATTAAGGCGGGGTGGCTTAAGTGGAAGAGTGCTTCTAGGGTACTGTTTGATAAACAAGAACCCACTAGACTGAAAGGGAAGTTCTATGGAATGGCTATAAGACCAACGATGTTGTATGGGACGGAATGTTGAGCAACTAAGAAACAATATGTAGATAAGATGAGTGTTGCTGAGATGAGGATGTTTAGGCAGATGTGTGACAAAACTAAAAAGACAAATTTAAGAATGAGTATATTCGAGAATGGGTAGAAGTAGTATCAATAGAAGATAAGTTGAGGGAGAACATATTGAGATGGTTTAGTCATATACAACGGAGATCAACAAAAGCAATAGTGAAGAGATGCGATACAATGGCAGTAGATAAAAGTGTTAGAAGAAGGGACAAACCTAGATTAACGTGGGGCTAGTGTAATAAATGGAGATATGAATCTCCTTAATTTGACTAACAATATGGTCTTAGATACAGTTGAATGGAGAATAAAGATTTATGTAATGGGATTTTTATTGATAAATCCATCTTAGAGTTGTTATAACTCATTAAGTTCACAAAGGAATATTATAACCTAATTAGTCCCATATACTTTTCTTTTTATTCCATAAAGTCCATTTTTCTAATTTTATATTTTTACCTGGACTATTATGCCCTTATATATATATATATATATACTGTGTTAATACATAACACGTTCCTTGTGATTTCGTGGATTCAGTTTTTACAGTTTCTATCATTCTAATTCAAATGGATACGTTTTTATCTTGCATGCTCGTTCTGAGCCTTTGATGTGCTAGGGTTTCATTGTCGTTGTTGTAGTCTGGTTCGGTGATTTTCAAGTGAAGACGACGATTTTGAAGGTGTTCGGTTCTCAGATTTTTTGGAGTATAACTACTTCAAAGTAGTTTTTTCGAGTTTCTGGACGATTGTAGGATTGCATGATTAAGGTTAGTATCATTTTGGTTATGAATACATGTTCACTTTATGTTTTGATTTGTATAATGGATCAGATGCTCTATTTTTTGATTGATATGGATCGGATGCTCTGTTTTTTCAATTATATGCATCATACGTGATATAATTTAGAGTATATGAATCAATGTGAATGTTTACATCTTGGTCCTGTGGAGGGGAGGTCATCAGATTAGTGATGAATGTGGATCTTCTATAATTCAGAGTATGTGGAACAATGTGAATGTTTACATCGTGTTAGTATTATGTGAAGAATGTGGATGTTTGCATTTTACTTTGATGTTTGCTTAATGAGGCTCTGTGTGGGTGATATAATTCAGAGTATATGTGTCAATGTAAATGTTTACATCGTGTTAATATTATGTGAAGAATGTGGATGTTCTCACTTTACTTTGATGTTTGCTTAATGAGACTCTGTGTGGGTGATATAATTCAGAGGATATGTATCAATGTAAATATTCACATCTTGTTAATGTGAATTATGGATTTAACACTTGAACTGTACACATAGTCATCTAATTTTTGCACAATGTGAATTTTCATATTGGTTTGGATTATTGTTGATTGTTGTATTGTTATGTTTTTACAGGAGATGGATACCTTTATGATGTTGGTGTGTACATATGGGTGCAGTACACCTATAATAAATGTTGCCCGCGCTTTATGTTATTCGCGTTTGGTGGATTGTTTGTGTGAAAAATGGAGGGAGTTGTCTGCTGGTTCTATTTCATTGTTCTGTCGGTTACCTGGGATTAATAGGTGTGACTTGGACAATGAGGAAGAATTTCAGAACATGTTACTGCTTGCTAAATCAATGGGGGTACGACATGTAGAAGTTGCGGTTGAGTTGAAAAGTGATATTGGTCAGTCAAGTAGCTCGGGATCGCTACGTGTGGAGGTTGAGGAAGATATTGATGCACTACGGAGATTTTGCCACCATAAGGAGAAGATGTTGTTGTCAACCCCTTGGGCAAATGGTATTACGCATGTGGGACAACGGTTTGATGGAGGTGCACAAGAATTTCGTGATGTTTTATGTAAGTATGTCATCCAATGTGGGTTTCAATTTACGTATGTGAAGAACGAGACAACAAGAGTTACTGCTGTGTGTGCGATGCGTGAGGAGAGAGGCTGCTTGTGGGCTATACATTGTAGAGCACAACGAGCAAATGGTTTTTTTTACATCAAGAGGTTTAGTGATGTGCATAGTTGTGGTACGGATATCCGAACATCGAAGAATCCACGAGTTAGTTCGGATTTGGTGTCGAGTACCACATCTGAAATTGTGAGGGACAAGCCATTGACTCGGCCATGTGAGGTGGTGACTATTTTGAAGAGGGATTATGGGCTAGATGTGAGTTACTATGTCGTATGGTTGGGTGTGGAAAAAGCAAAGGCTGGTACCCATTATCGTTTGACCAGCTGCGGTGGTATTCGGATGCTATGATGCGGTACAATCCGGGGAGTTATGTCAATATTGACTATGATGCAAGTAGTCAACAGTTTTGTCGTTTCTTTGTGTCATTTGCTGCGTGCATTTCTGGGTTTAATTCTTGTCGGCCTTTATTATTCCTGATGGAACATTCCTCAAATGAAAGTGCAAAGGTCAGCTACTTGCAACAACGGCGAAAGACGGAAACAATGGTTAGTATTTTTTTTAGCTGTCTATTCATGTCAATATTCACTCTAAGCAGCATAGTCTGGACAAATGAGTGATTGAGAAATTATAAGTAATGTGAACATTGACATTAGTATGCACTGATGTGAATGTTCACATCTGTGTCTGCTAATAACAGTAATGTAAACATTCACATTATTATACACTGATGTGAATGTTCACATCAGTGTATACTAATGTCAGTTGATCCATTAATGAACAGTACTATGAATGTTCACATTATCAATGACTCAACAATCAATAATGAATTATTAATGGTCGTTAATGTGAATGTTCACATCGTTGGAATATTGTGAATAGTTGTGTATTGGTGTTGTGTTGTAGGTTTGTTTCCTGTTGCATTTGCGATTGTTGATTCAGAGACCACGGCCAATTACTTGTGGTTCTTGCATGAACTTGGGAAGGTTGTTGATGGTAAGCGCCAGATTACTTTTATTTCAGATCGTAATCTTGGTCTGTTAGAAGCTATGCCAAAGGTGTTCCCATCGGCTCATCACGGTTATTGCTTACAACACTTGAAGAGCAATTTAAGAGACCGGATGAAAGGAATTGATAATGGATTCAGGGATCACCTAGTAAGTAGTTTTGGTGACTGTGCTTATGAGACAATTGTGGTAGGGTTCCATGAAAAGCTTGCAAAATTAAAAGAGAAGGGTAAACAACGAGCTCATAATTTTTTCAAGGACTTGGCACCTGAGCAGTAGGCAAATTCATATTTCAGGTAATAATAGTTTCCTAAGGTGTTTCATTTGTCAAGTTTAGAATGGTAGCGAGGTGAATTTTCAGTCTAGAATGGTAACAATCTTCCAATTGTGTTTCATGTCAATGTAAATGATGTGAATGTTCACATCTGCTGATGTGAATAATGTGAATGTTCACATCTGTTAATTTGTCAAACAGTCATGCAATGTATTGCAGATTTGAATGTTGACACCTGCCATATTTTGTTGTTGTTAACATTCACATCTGTCTATTATTTAAGTTGACAACATAATAAGCATATAATGTTCACTGCAAATAATGTTAATGTTCACATCTGTCAATGTGAATGTTCAGACCTGTTAAATTTCGTATTATACAATGTTTGTGATATTGTGCAGGGGCATGCGTTATGGGGAGATGACATCCAATGCGGTGGAGTCATTTAATAACTGGATTAAAGAAGCACGTAATCTTCCTATCACTCAAATGGTGGACACAATTTGTACTCAGTTGATGCGGCAAATGTCTGCATGGCGTGACCAAGCAAACAAATCGAATGAGCTTATTTGTCCTACATTCGAAACAAGGCTTATGGATTCGTTCAATGACAATAGGTCTTGGCAAGTTAGCAAAGCAAATGAGGATGTGTTTGAAGTTCATTCGATACCATCTGTTACGGTTGATGTTGCGAGGCGTACATGTTCTTGCTTCAAATGGCAAATCAACGGATTCCCATGTGACCATGTTGTTATTGCTATTCAGAAGAGCCGCTGCAATCTTAATGATTGCGTGGAACATTACTTTCATGTAGAGACATATCGTGCAGCCTATTCGGGTGCCATATTTCCTATACCATCAGTGGAGAAGCCGCCTTTTGATCCCACGAATTTCACTATATACTCGCCAACTGTGAAAAGACCACCTGGAAGGCCAAAAAAGAATAGGATCCCATCAAGGGATGAGAAACTGAAGCAAATAAGGTGCGGGAGATGTGATAAGTTTGGGAGCCATAATCGGAAATCATGCAAGGAGCCAATATAGGATGTACATTTTTCATTTCAACATTGTGTTTTACACTGGATTTTTATATTCATTTTTAAAATAAGATTGTGTTGTGTTGGTAAACATTGTGTTGCAATAAGATTACGTTGCGTTGGCAAACATAATAATGCATTAGTATTTGATTTGTGTTTTATTTTTAATTTTTTAAGGTACCAATCTGACATTTATGTTGTTGTGTTTTAGATGAATACATGATGTTAACATTCACACTTGTGTAATATAATCACATTATGTGAATAATTGCACATGGGTTGAACTTTTAAATATTTTCTGTGGTATGAATGTTCACATACGTGTTACTGTTAACAGCATCAAAGTAGATGACATGAACGTTTACATCAATGTAACCATTCACATCATCAACTCATAAGATGTGAATATTCATGACATCGTTGCTGCCATTCAAATAATCAGAAGTTATGATGTGAATATTCACATCATCAAATTATTAGATGTGAATATTGACTTGTGCTAAGAAATATGATATTCACACCTGTCATATTGTGTTACATTAACACTTTAAGCAATATTCACATCCATGTAGTATGGCTTTAAAATATAAGAAAGTGTATGATCATTCTGTGATGTGAAAATTCACATCATGTCATGTGTCAAAAAAAAAAATACAATTTCAATGTGCATGACCAACACAAAATAGGCCTCAAAATGCATATACATATATTGACTGAAAAATATCTGTACAAGTAGTGATATAGACTTAATTTACAATTAAGCTAGTCTGCTCTAATATGTAAAATCTATTGACACTAAAT